ATCTTCTGAAAAATTACATTAGCCCAATGTTCAGTTCTTGTAAAACTCAAATAAGATATTAGGAATTATTAGAAAAGTAAGAGAACAAAGCATTACGTGGATGTATAAATTCATGGTGCTCTTCTTTCATACTGGATATTGTGTGTGGTTCTAGTCTCTCTCCTGCTCAAAATGTGAATTAGAGATGGTACAAAGATAAGACACAAGGAGGGTCAGAGTTATGAAAACAGCTAAACTGTTGACCGAGCTGTGGACCTTCTTGCCACAGGATACTTTTGCCACTAAAAGTTGGCGTAGGTGCAAAATGGGATGGGACAAAGTCATGAAAGAGGAATTTGTTGCAGACTGCTAGATACGCAGTTGATGCCTTCAGGTAAGGAGGTCCCTGAAGTGCAGTTAGAGTGTACCTGGGGTGGTGGTGTAAGGTAAAGCATCGCTCCAGTCTTGTGTGGTTCCTTTCTTCAACTCTTCTGCAGATACCTGCTGGTTACAGTCTTCTCTGCTTTCATGGATAACATGCTTTTGTACTGTGAAGTTGTTTTGCCTGGGCTTTTTTGGTACGCAGTGTTTATATGTTTGGTAGGCAGTGTTCAAGATGTAAAAGGTCACTTGAAGTTGTCTTTGGCATTCAGTGGTGATAGGGGTAATGAGTATAGTACTTCTGTGGATGTCATAGGAAATCAAGGTTGTAACTCCCAAAAGATGGAGGGGGGAAAAAAACCCAAAAAGTCCTCTCAATTCCTTATGCTGGATGCTGCCCAGACTTGGAGTTTAGATAATTCAGCTTACCATTCCAGTTTCATTACTGCCTGGGCTTACCTATAGGCTTTTAAGGAGTGCCAAGTTTTGTCCTCTGCAGTTTTTTTTTTTCTCTTTAAAATTTGCTGGCATCCAGAATACCCAAATTTATAGTAGTGATTCAGTATTAATGCTTCTTTACACCTTTAGAGTTACAGTTGTTACATTTGTACTGTCACTGCTTCAAGAAAAGCAAATCTAGCAAACAGCAGATGTATTGCATGTGGTCCTGTGTCACTAAGGAAGGAGAAACTATTTTCTGTGATGCACAACACTGTCATAGTTGCTAAAAATCAGATATGGTGCATATCTTTTCTATGTATGCAATACCTGTGTGTGTTAAAACAGCATGGCACATGAAGCCACTTGAGAACTTCTGTTCCTTACTGCATCCGAAATTATAATTTATTGAGTCACAGTAAAGCCTCTATAATATATCATTAAAAAAAATGGATCTCTTTTAAAATAACATCTAAATTAGTGGAAAGACCTATTTGAAACACCACTGCATTATGAATGGCAAAATTGCCAAGATGAAAAACAACATAAAGGATTGTTTTTCCTAGAACAGATATTTCACAAAGTGGAAGTGAGTGGACAGATTTCAAATGTAGAGTTTTATCAAGCAAAACAAGTATTCTTAAAAGATTTGAACAAATCAGTAGCTTTTATCTGAGATTTTTGAATGTTTATTTAGACTACTTACTCTGTTTACTGCCTCTTTCTATCCTCTAGGTAGAAAAGATACAAATGTTAGTTCTTAAATGGTTGTGTTGTTCCTGCTGATCTGCTGTGTAGCTGAGGCTGTAAGTTATGAATTTAAAAACACTGCTGTAATTCACACCTGATGGAAAGGCTTGCTCAGAGCAGCAAGATGCGAACAGATTTGAGGAATCACTAGAGATGAGGAGTTCAAGCATCTCTTGGCCACATGCATCTTTATAAAGCCATAGCCATCGGAGCCCATGCAGCATCCCTGCTTTCACTCCTCTCCATTAAATGCTGTAGTTGTTGCTGGGAAGAATTTCTCTTGAAAATTTGGGACTTTATCCTGTAATCTGTTAATATGGCTCTTTGCGAGTCCAGACCATCCATTGTCTGATCTTCAGCGTTACGAGGTTTGGGGACAAACATGATGTGGTTTAGGTAAATTTTTGCTTTGCATGCTGTTTGTATTCATTAACCTCCCCAAGACTAAGCTCAGAAGTACTGTGCAACATGTCTTCTGCAAACATTTGGTAATTAGTTTTTCTTGCTTAACGCGAACTTTTTATTAACTTTATAGAAATGGATTCAGTGTTGAAGACCTACCTCAGACCCAGCCTAGAATATAAACTGGACTTTATTATAAATTGTAGTCTTGGCTTTGGGAGGACTATTTTATGCATAAAAATTGTTTGCAGAATGAAGTTTAATGTTACATTCTTGTACCTTACGAAGTACAGGAAAACAAAAGCTTATGATAAATGCTGTGTAAGAGCATTTCTATTTTAAGCATTCAAATGTGATTATTTGCTGTCATATTCTTAAGTAGAGGCTGAAAACAAAATACAGATTCTTAGGAAGGTTTTGGTGGCACTAGCTGTAGGGAACAGGGCACACAGCATTGTGCTTCCCGTTCTAATTTCATCATATTTCAGTGTTTAAGGTCAGAAAGGAGTTCTCCTTGCCTGGATGATATTGCAACAAACTTGTTTGTGCTTGCTTTCTTGAGTGCTGTTTTGAAAAAGTCCTTCATAGCTGCACAAGTATCCTTTGGGGATTTCTAAGGCATGTTTCTTCAAATTTGTTGCAAACAGAATGTGCCATTTTGAGAATGAGTCTTTTACTGTAACTTACACCACCAAAGGCCAGAGTTTTGCATATGTTTTCTGTTTAACTGGAGTATTGAAAAGCAGTGTTTAGATTGGTTTCAGTCCTTAAAGTAATGAAACACTTCCTTAAACACACAGACGTGCACAAAACTGTGCACAATTCTGACTTTATTCTGTTATCTGAGCACTTTGTAAATGGTGAACGTTTATAAAACCCATTTAGTTTTTGATACGGGTATACTTTCCTCTTCGTAGCAACTAATAACTGAACCTGAGCATTGCTTACTCCCTTAAGGTGGAAAAATATTTTGGTAAATGTGGAATTACATATGATATGGAGAACGGAAAATTACTGTTGGACACTTTGCAAGTGCTTTGAGAGGAGAAAGTATTGATGTCTAGCTTATGCTGACTCTACAGAATTGGAGGATTTTGTTTGCATTTTCAGAGAGTGGTTGAAAGTTCACTCAAAATCTGCACCATGAGGCTTTCTTGTCAAAGCACATGCGTGTACCTGCACACCCTCTGACTTCAGAGCGTGATGGTATCCATTAAGTCTTCCAGGAGAGATGTGTTCCATTTCATACACAACGCTTCTTTCACTGAAATTTTCTTTATATATTAATAATTGTATTATTTGTATTTCTGTTGCCAATTGCCTTGATGCACTTGATGTATTTGTAATATCAGGAGGAAGGTAGATGTATGTGGCAGTTCCCTAATAATCTGAGAGAGGAGGAAAGATGGGGAGTTACATATTGATGTTTGCAGTGGGACTTAGGAAGTTTTCACTTACCCTCTAACTTTGGGATGGCAGGAGTGTTTTGTTCCTTCTAATGCAGAATGTAAATAAAATATGTAGTGCGTGGATAGCTATTAATCTGCTTGGTGCTACAACTTTCATAGCATCCTTTTTTCTCAGTGTAATCCAACTTTTAAAGTTTGCTGCCTTAATATGCGCTGCTGCATAGCTGTGAAAAAAGAATAAAAAATAACTTGTTCGGGCTTGTTTGCATGTATTTTAAATTGCATCATTTGTTGACTCTGAAAAGGAAGCCGTTAATCTCTGTAGTCTAAGATACTCCTCTGCTTAATGGAGAGGATAAGTTGGTCCTGGCTAAGGTAAGGCAATACAGCAGAGGGGAGTGCCTGTCTCTGGCAGGGGGTGTGTGGTGGTTGGTTTCTTGCAGTATTCACGATAATAGTTGTGGTAAAGCAGTTATTTACAAGATGCAGATGACATGGTTCTCTCTCATTGTGTTGCCGTGTGATGTTAACAAGTCGAGTATCAATAGCATTCAGTACCGTATGTTGCAGTGGGATAGATAAACATCAAAGAAAAAGGGCTGCGCGAAAGGCCCAAGATGAAAAGGGGTGCACCTGTCTGTCCCTGCCCTGGAAGAGGGCTAAATCTGTCAGGTATTGCACTCCGATGTAGGAAACAAACACTGCTAGCTAACAACAGAACATTAAAATATTTGGTGATCAAATCGAGGGTTACTTAAAATATTCTAAACTTTTTCCAACTTTTTTTTTTTATGTCTGTGTTCAAGATCTAATTTTCAGGAGTTTGAATCTTAGGGAAATGACTAGATGTCTTATGTGCATTTCTATTCTCCAAACTGTTGCTTTTATCTACAGTTTTTAGTCTTTAAAAATGCTACACTTGTTTTCATTGAGCTGTATGTAACTTTTTGCCAGTTTGTTGGTTGGGTTTTTTTCATCCTGGTAGACAAACAAGTTGAAAAGAAAGGCCAGGACTCCTGTTTTATTTAGTAACACCCTCTCCAGACTTGTTCCTGCATTCAGTGTTGCAGCTCACTGTGCTGCCTCTGTGTGGTGTCTTTTGTCCTCCAGCAACGCTGTCAAGCAGTAACAGAGGAAACTCAGAAACATCTCAGATCTTTCTCTGACCCTTGCAGCAGTTTAAATGTTCCACATATGGTTGTGTATTTGGCTAGAAAATATGCGTGGGCATCAGTAGGCATTTACTGCGTCTCTTCTGTTTTAGATCAGTCCTGTTTGCTTCCTCCATCCAGAGACATATTTTAGCAGCAAGGTATTTCATGTCATCTACCGTAACTACTTTGGATATTTCTAGGAAAACTCTGTGTAGTGTCTTAGTATGGCAAGACCTTTGATTGTGCGGAGATCTAGGTTGGTTAGTAATAGGCTAACGTCACCGTGTGAGTTTGACAAGGAAAAAAATGTGTTGAAATGGAAGGAAGCGTGTCTCAATATGATGGAAAATTTCTGTGAGGTTATCTTAAGACTTGAAAAGGACTTCGGAGGTAATAACCATGCATCTTAAATTCAGTCATTGTAGTCTGGAAAACTAGGACTGTGCTACATGAATTTATTTTTCTGCTGGTTTGTTTTTTTTCCTAGTGTCCCAATGTAATATCAGCTTGAAGAAGCAGAGGAGTCGAAGTATCTTTAGCACCTTATTCTGCTGCTTTCGTGACTACAATGTCGAACCACCATCTACCAATAGCACCAGTGCTCTTCCTCCTTTGGTGGAGGAGAATGGAGGACTTCAGAAGGTCAGGCTTTTATCTTATTTTGCTCTCATATGGATCTTTTGTAACTAAGGTTTAACTCTCCGCTTCTGAAGGTTTGTCTTAATAGGTTTCCCACATGGGGAACACATTGAGTTACAGAAGAAATTAATGTTTTGATGGTTAATTGCTAATACTATCTATTCAGATGCAATTTAAAACTAACCTTTCCATGAAGGGTATTGGCGCTATACATTTTGTAAGCAAATAACATTTAAAACCTGAGTAAGACACCAAAAAAATGTGGACTTCTCATAAAACTTCAGATGCTGAGTTGTCTCTAGCATCTGGTTCTCTTTCCCAGCTGCAGGAAGATTAAAATCTGTCCACTGGAGCATAGTGGAACCTCTTTGAATGTCAGTTGAAAGGGTTTTCAGTGACATAAAAACAGTTCAAAGAGGGGGAGAACTGTAATTCTTTGGACCTTTTTTCTAACCCGTTCACCTATATTTGATGCACACTGAGTCCAGAGGTATCAGCTTTTGGCCATTTTTCCAGGTTATTAAGTTTTGTTTACTTAAGTCAAATTAATTGATACAAACTTTCAGCACTTCAAAGCATTGTATGTAAGAGCAGCATGTTACTTGCATTGAGTTCTAGTAATTATATTGCTTTGCCATATTCATAAAATCACAACACAAATGATTTTATATGTTCTTTTTAAATCTGATAACACTTGAGAGCATTTGCATTACGAACTGAAGAATTTCAGTTCAATATAGCAAACACAAGAATACCATCTTTTCCATACCATGTTGTTTTTCAGCACTCTCAAAACTCCACTAGTGCTAGTGCTATACTCTTAATTGAAACACCATTCCCCTTGCACTTTTCCAGGATGTTAAGAGATCACAAACATAGGTATATCCATGATGAGGAATAATAGCAGAAATGGAAATGTCTCTATCTTTTCACCCTTTTGCACTTCACACTAATTTTTCATATTTGATGCAGCTGATTTCTTACCTACCTTGTCCAGTCCATTTTATTTTGTTTTGAATTTTGCTGGTTATGTTTGAATTCTGAAAAGCTCAGGAGAAAGATTAGAAGAGCTGTTTGGTGGGAGAGAGGAAAGGAAAGCAAATTAAAGTGAATGGAGACTTAAGAATACATGTGGAGGTAAAGTCTGAACTGCAGCAGTTCATGCTGAAACTGCTCATGCAGAGGTAAAGTGCAGTGAAAATTCCTCTGCCAAGAGGAGGAATTGTATGTGTATTTTTAGACTTCTTTTGCTAGCCAATGTACGTTTTGACTGAAATGAGGGAAATCTAGCCTGGATATGCTGAAAGGAAAGCTGAGTAGTGTGTAGCATGTATGCACGCGTTCCCCTGAGAAACAAAAGGAAAGGGAAACTAGTAAAATTTCCCTTTCCACGATGGCAGGGAATGGAAAGGAGGCAAAAGTGAGGCTGCTAGCTGAGAGAAAATGGGAGTTCATTAGAAAGAAAAACATAAAGAAAAGAAGAGTTTGTTTTTTCTATAGAAAACATGAGTTAAAATGGTCCGGAGTCAGTAGTTTTCAGATTGCATTTTGTAAAACAATTGCTTTCTAAATGTATCTTACTCCTTGAGAGAGTGTTTGGATGTGTATACACACAATTTTCCATCCTCACTCTGTGCTATCTTAGTGAGCAGTTTTGAAGTTGTGCAATACTTGTACAAGAACCCAAGACACAAATCGCAGAATCCATAGAATTACCAGACTACAGTTTAATAGAGTAAAAAAGTTCAAGGAATATGTTAAAAAAGGAATATGTTTCATTCTTCAAATAGAATGAAAGGCACTCAGATGCATACAGATCTTTGTAGAAGAAATCAAGTATAGTTAAGCTTTTGGGTAGTTCTTCAGTGAGTGCAAGTAAGTCTGTGACATTTCTATTTTAAATGCAGTATTAAACACTAATAAGTTTTGTGTGTGTTTTTATATGCTGTTTTTATTTTGAGTGCTAACATTGTTAGTTTAAGTAGGAAATTACTTTAAAAAAGAAAAACAACATTGAAGACTTGGATATATTTGTATATCGTTAGGCTGTCAGGCTAGTGCTTTTTACCAGGAGAGCTGTGTTTTAGAACTGTGCAGGCTGGTTGAATTTGATGGAGTTACACTGAGCATCTTGTCTAGATTCAGAAGTGATAATTAAGTTGGGGGAAAGTACATTCAACAGTGGGCCTCAGTTTGTAAATTGGTGAAATCAAACGTCCAGGAATGACAAAACTACCTGTTTCAGGAAAGAAAAGAAGGCCTGACAACACACTGCTTAAACTCCTCTTCTGTTTGTTTAAAGCTCTTTTGGCATTATTCTGCCTGCCAGGTTAAAATAATTTAAATTATGTTGAGCTGTTCTTCAAATGGTCACTTACTTATATCTGCTATCTCTTTTGTATGTTTTATTAATTATTTATCACATCACAGGTGACCTCTGACTGTGGCCCAGTCAGTTCATGTGTAGTGAACCTTTCCTTCAAAAATAGAAAAAGAAAAATGCACAACGATGTTAAATAGTTCCCATTAGAAACTAGTATAAAATGACTTGGATGTACTTTCCTTCTGTCTTTACTGTTCAGTAGAGTTGTTACATGAAAACTGGTGACAAAAGACTTCAGAGGAAGGAAAGTAATGGAGAAAGCTTCTGCTGGTCTTACAGGAATTCAGTGTTTGTTCTATGTTGCTTCTGGAGTATTCTTGAAGGTGAAGTTGATGTGACAAGCTAACTTCCTTCTAACTAGGAGTCTTGATTCTTTAAATGCTAATCTGTTGTAAAGAAGGGAAAGCAGGGAAGAGTATTTTATAAAGTAATTGAAAACACAGTTCTGAAATTCTGTTCAGAGTAATTGCATTGTACGGTTTTATTATTATTATTTTGCTGTATTAGAAAAAATCAATTTGGTGCTTCAAATGAATCAGTACTTCATTTAGTATTTTACCAAACGATGTGACTTCATTATGCTTGGCAAGTCAAGTGTCATGTCACTCCTTCATAGGACTGGAAGAAGCACCAAACTGAGCATGGTTTTGAATAAACAGGGTCTGTCAGCGCTGACTTCTGTTCCATTAGGGGGCAAAAAAGCCCAAAAACTTCCTTAAAGTATTGAGTTCATTTTTAAACCTTCTACTCGCAGGGCAGCTGCTTGTCCAAGTGTGACTCTAATACTGGTAATGAATGGTCCGTCCTGTCTCTGTAGTTTCAATACAACATTTTTCAATAATAACTTGTATTTACTGAAACTATTTTATATTTGTTTTTCTTAAAATGCGACAACTTTTTAGTGCAGCACAAAGATGTATTCTAAGATGTAATATCTATTACAGTGGGTATATCAGCCTGTCTGCAGCTTGGATGCCAAGCCAGATGTGTCATTGGGAGCACACAATGTTCAGCCTCAAGAAATCCTTGCTAATTTTTTCCTGCCTCCTCAGCAGCAGGCAGCTCACCAACACCTTCCAGCTAGTTCTTTTTTTAGGGGCCAGAGTGTTGGGAGAAGGAAGTGGGTTTTGTTTTCTTCTGAATAAATTAAAATCTCAATTTCTGTTCTTCAATTAGTGACTTATTTTGTGTATTTTCTGGGTGTAAGTTTGTTTTTGTTGTGTTTTTTTTTTCTGGGTAAGTTTGTTACCCGAGTTTTGAAGTGTTTGCAGATACAGATTTCATCTGCAGGCTTCAAGGAAGGATCCAGATAGAGGAAGGTGAGAAAAGCTTAGATGCAAACTAGCTCTTTCTTCCCTTTGCTTTCAGTCGTGTTGGGTGAGAGAGCTCTGACACTATTGGCACTTGGCCATTTCACTTACAACCCACTTCCACTAGAGTCATCTTTGCTTTTGTTTCACAGTTAGATCCAAATCGGGCAGATGGCTTGTGTTCAACAAGATGAAGCATGAATGAGGAAAAGGTTTTTTATACTTCTTGGATTAGAGGAGAAGGTCTTGATCCACACTCAGCAGGGAAGAAGACAGAGTTAGAAGAGGGTTTATTCTGGGGGCAGCAGCTGTCCCCACTGCCTTCCCTGTAACAGGAATGAAGCCAGAAAGGTCAAGTCCTTGAATTTCTACCTCACCCATCCTAATCACTACAACAGGTCTCCTTCTCCCTGCTGCTTTTTGCTGCACAATGTCATCTCCAAGGTGATGCTGGAAAGCTGTTTGGATGACCTATTGTCATGTCTCCAACACTCTTGTCTGCTTCGGGGATCTCTGTTTATAAGAGTGCAAGAAGAAGGATCTTCTCTATGCCCTGTGAATATGGTTCACCAGAGTGAGAAAAACAGCTTGTAGGGGGCATGTTCTTGAGGTCAAAAGTAGTATCTTCTTCATACAAGAGACCTAGAGGAGCAGCATGAGCATGGAGTCTTTGATGGGGAGACTATTAACGGCATGCTTTCCAAACAGACATGGAAACCAGTCTCACTCTTCAGTGTGGAGGAAGATAATTGAGATTAATGTAAATTATAGTACTCTTTCTCCTGCTTCACCTTTGCTGATCAGAGCAAGAAAATTTTTAGTGTTTGGTTCTGTTGGTCACCATCAGCATGTGGTATGGCAGGTCTGTTTAGAAAACAAGAACCCTCTCTGCGTAGCTATGTTTGATTCTGCTGTCTCTGCCTACTCATTCTGACCCCAGAAGTCTTCTATATTAAGAGACAAAGCTCAGTATTCCAAGTCAATGAAGAGTCAAATAGTAACTATATTATTGTTTTTGTAAAATATTGTAAAGAACCTATCATGGTCTAGTATAAGCTTTGTGTTAAAGAAACAAATGTGATATATCTGTTCTTTTGATCAGCTTCTTCTTTAAAGGGGTTATTCTTTAAAATAAAACAGCTCCTTATCTTTGAATACAGACTGTTCTCAAAAAAGCTAAATAGTGTGGCCTGTAGCTTGGTGCTCATTGATCCCGTACATGAATGCAGACAGACAGCATTGATGAACAGACGCAGTACTGAAAATGTTGTGTCTCTCAAACTAAAATTACATAGCTAAGGGAAAAGGTAGGATTTATCATTTCAGCTGTATATATTGTCCCATGAAAAAAACCTGATTTCAGTGGTTGCACAAATCAGTTCCTGGTTTATCTAAGTGATACAATGGGGAAATTTTGGCATTCTAGGAATAGCTTTGTCCTGTTACCAGCATCAGGAGCTCATGGAAAGACTTCAACAAATGCAGTCATCTGTCATCTATTTCAAACGATACCATTATGACCTATTTCCCTTCCTGTTCCAAGGCTTCAGGAAATGAGACAGGACACTTTCAAAAAGTTTCCCATGGCAGGCTTGTTTTTAAAAAGCATTTGCCTGTTCGTGAACACTTATGCTTTACCAGCAGACTCTTGTATTTATCTTTCTACTTGTTTTTCCAGTTGTTATCATTACCATTTTGATTTTTGCATAGGTACTTTTAGGGTTCCTCTTAGGAAATTTGCTTGTTTTTCTTGTTTTTTTGATTTAAGAAATTCTGCAAGAAAAACAAAGCAAACAGTAATGCAAGTCCTTCAGCAACTTAGATTCTGGATTCCCATGCAAGTCAGGCTTAACAGTAATACCGTGGGGTGCAGCTCGTTCTTCAAGAGATTGCTAAAATAAAAAGGAAGTTACACCACGGTGAGTGCCTCTTGAAGTCTGTGGGAAAACCTGATGTGATACACAGCTATATTTGTGTCCACGAGATCTTGTACCGTAACTGTGGATATGTCTCTACCTCTCATACACTGTTCTTGTCTGTTGACAGAAGAGGAGCTGCAGTTGTATTTTATTCTCTCTACCAGTGAAGGCAAAAAAAGCCTTTAAAAACAAAGCAAAACACAGGTTCACAATCTGTGCTCTGCTTGCCTAGCCATATCCTTGATAACAGTTTGATCGCAGGTCAGCTAACCCAGCTGGCACCTACTCAGATACACTCCTTTCTCAAATGCCTGTGAACTTGAGATGATGTTCCACTAACAGGACCTTAATGTGCTGAATTATACTTTTTTCTTTTCTTTTTGCCATTACCTTGATGAAAATTTGGATTTTGGATCTTACCAGGTTTTGTGTGTGTTTGTTTTTATAGAAATCAGGTACTTTTTAATAAAGCAAACTTCTTGATAGTTCATAGTAGTTGCTGCTCTCTAGCTGCTTCATCAGCTTCTCTGGATTTTGGTCAAACCTCAGTAAAAAGTTCTGCTGTTATAGCAATAAAAAAGAGGATTTTTAAAATAATACTGAATTAATTTTATTTGTCAGTGATGTGTCAATGTTATGTTAGACTCCAAAACAAGTGAGCACAAGACTTTAGAACATCCTCTTCCAGCTTAAAATGTTGACAACAGCTCTTTCAATAGATAATCAGTCTGCTGGTAGTCAGAGCCTGTGTTGTCCAAGTAATTAAAGAATAAAATCATCTACCTAAGCAACATATGTCCTAGAAGGGTGAGCTTCCTTTTTTTTATGTGCTGTGCCCACCAGGAAACAAATACTTGGTTTTGATATATTAGAAAGATTAGAAAATACAGTTCCTACTTCCCAAAAAACTCTTACATATTTGAGTTGGTGACTCTGTGACCGCACTTTCTCCATTTGGAAGCTGTAAATGGAAGTGTCTTTGTCTCCATATGTCAGGTCCCAACATGAAAAGAAAAGGTCAAGATGGCCAAGAGTGTCTTGCCTTTTCCCAAGTACAATACGAAAGTGAGACCATGGGAAGAGCACTGATACTGTTGCCTCTTTCTGGGTGAAGAAAGTGGGATTCCTTGGATTAGTTTATCATCATCGTATCCTTCTTGGACATTTTACTGTTGCCTAAGTGAAAAAGCTGTTTTTTCTGAGACACTTGTTTCAAGTGAAGTCAACTTCAAGGAGTGGGCTTCTGCCCTGCTACCAAGGTCTGGCTGAGCCTCTTGTCGCTGCAGTGAAAATAGACAAATATACCCATTAGTAGGTCTTAAAGCTGAAAAAGTTACAGTAAATACATGTACTTTCTTACTATCATCTCTTATTAATCATAGCATGGGTTTTACCAGTCCAGCCTCCTAAAAATCATAAATGCCGATACACTAACCAGTCATTTCAGTGACTAAAATGCAAGATCCTGGTTTTTTTTACCCTGGTTTCTTGAATACTTTGAACTTTTGGTTTAAAATGTTTGAGTGCTACATTTACTGCTTCAGACCTTTGTTCTACCCTTAAAAGCCATTACCCTTACAGTGATTTTTTTTCTTTTTCCCCAGGGTGACCAGATGCAGGTCATGCCTATACCAAGTGTATGTATTTTTATCCCTTTTTCTTTTAATAATTTTCATAACTTTTGCTTTGATTCATCTTATGTTGCAGTCTAACAGGTCTGGTTTGTGTTGCATGTTAACAAAAGGATTTTACGTTCTGTCTGTACTGTTGTATACTCAAGAGATTAATTGAACTGCACTTGTTGTACAGGGACTAAAAGTAGAGTTTCGGTTTTATATGGTTTTGATCTTGCATCTCAGATAAATTAGTTTTTGAATTTTTATCAGTTTGAAAATGCGTGAAGTAGTCTGAAAGTTGAAGTTACTTAGAGATAAAAGGTGACTTACCATCACTATGTGAAACACGGTTACAAAAACCTTTTCCTCTAATTTTTCCCTATATTCCAGTTGCAAATAAGAGTTAGAAACTGCATAATTTCTTTGAAACAGGCTACTTTAGGAAAGCAAAGAGTACACTGACCGCAGCTGCATTACTGCACTTGTTCGAGATGATGTGCTCAGTATCAGCCGCTGTTTTATGGGCCTTAGTATTTCTGCTTATTTTCCCTGGATTAAACTTGGAATGCCATTTGACATCTGAATTATTTTCCAAAACTAAATAAAAGGAAGGGGGGGGGAAGTTCTTCAAACTGAAGCTTTTCATTTAATTAAGTTTAACCTTTTTTGGTCAAAAAGCTGTTCTTTTTCTACTTGTTTTTTATGTGGATGAAGACTTAGGCTTTTTAAAGCTGGAAATACATTTTTTTTTTGAGGTCCTTTGCTGTTCCTAATACTATATTATTGCAAAGTTTTCCAGGAAGTAGCAGTGCTGTTGTGTGCAGTTACTGACACAGCCCTCTTTCCTGAGATATTTGGTAGCCCCTAAAGACCTGAATATTCCCCAAGATACCATTTTTTTTTCCTCTTTCCCTTCCTTCTCATGTAGTCCAACATTACAAGACCTGTCCTGTAAGAACTCTGTCCATGCTTCAGTGCAGTAGTGTCAGGAGATTGCTATAACCGTGTGGATCACTTCCCTTCTTCACCACTTTTTCTTGGATTTAAGAACTGTTAGTAATTACTTTTTATTGCTTACCTATTATTTCTAATATGAAATTACTTCTAATTTGGCTCACGCATATGTTTGCGTGCATGTGTGTATGTATGTATACTCACACATGTACATGCATGTAATTTGTATATGCAAGTGTGGGAATAGAAAACTTTGGATTTATGAAAATACTGATTTCTAAATTCCTTTTCCTTTTACATACCTGCCAGATTCTGTTTGGTCACTGTAGTTACTCTACTAATAGTTATTTTAATGTAAAACATGTTCTGGCTGGGCTCTGACCTGTAATAAAATTTTGCCTGAGAGTTAGTGTAGGTATTAATGAAATAAGAATTCAAACAGAACAAAATTTTGAAATGACAAATGAGTACAGCTTTGTCAGGTACAAACATGAAATGAGATACTTTGCTAGAACACTGTCTTTGCAGTGTTAAAGCAGTGCTCTGTTAGATTTGGGTAGTGGTAGGAAAATGAATGATTCAAGAAGGGGGTTCTTTTTTGGGTTTTTTTTTTCCATAGCTTAACTGTAATTTTGCTGATCTATATTCCCAGCACTTTAATAAGGCAGTAAAATTAACTTATCTTTGCAGTCATGACGTAGAGTTCTCAGTGAGCAGGTGACTTTAAACACACTCATTTCTCTTCTCCAGTGCCATCCGATGCCTTCTTCCAGCAGGACATGCAAGTGTTGTCAAGCAACTGTTGCCCGCAGGCAGTTGTGTGACATTTACTGAGTATCAGAGTGCTTCTGGCTGTCAAACAGAAGCCAGCAAGCATTAGTACGTAATAGTCTAAATAAAGACAGAAGTGAGCTGCCTATGGATAAAGTGGTAGGAACGAAGATGCAACATTATATTAGAAAAATGCCTAAAATTAAAGCGGTCCTCTTTGCCAGTCTTACAAGGGCTTGTTGTCCTGAGTGCTGGAGGACACCTGTCCTTAATGGTGCGATTAAGACCCACTAAGGGTCATGGATGAGAAATAGGCTGTTTCAGCTGTATGTATTATACATGCCAGGAGAAGAATCTTCTGAACAGACACAGAGTGAGCTTGGTCACAATTAAGTTGCACATTAACTTTTTATAGAGCTCATTGCAAATATAACTACTTCAAGTGTTTAGCGAATTCCTTAGTGACTCTGAAAAGAGTACGGCCCACTCCCTGCTCACTAAACTTCCAAGTTGAAGCCTCCAGTCAAAATATTAGGTTTGCGGGAGCTTTATTATGCATGTATAAAATCTGGCAGTCTGCTGAGGTCACCTGTTTGAAAACTTCCATTGCTTTATGTACATATGTGCAGATGCTTTATGTACATATTTATGTGCAAATCAGTGAAGTATATCTTCTGCTCAATCAGATTTTTCCTGCATTAATTGCACTTAATTTGAAGACTTGAATTAATATGAATTTTCACTTGGTTATTGATAGAGATAATTGCTAAGCAAGAAACATGCCATCTTCAGGTTTGGTTTTTCAGAAAATAGAAACAGTGTGACTTTGGTTTTTTTTTTAAAGATGAACTTTATCCTGTTTGTATCTTGTATTCTGAAACTGTTTCCAGATAAGGCATAGATTAAACAGCAGTGTAACTGATATTTTTTTTCCCTAATGCTGCAAAATGATTTATTTTTAGGGCTGAAATAAACACAAACAAATTCAGACAAAACAGTAGCAGCTGACACATTGTGATAGACCTGACTTAAAAATATATTAAGTATAGCTCAGGATGCCTGTGCTTTCATGGGTTTTTCTCAGCTTTGTTTGGAAAGGAGTATGGTAGAGAAATCAAAGTAGAGCCATAGCAACTTCAGCACCTATTTTCATTCTTTTGAACAAAAAGGTAGATGGAAAAAACAAAGCCATACTCATGCACCTTCTTAAATGAGTTGGAGTGTCCATTTCTTTTGTTCAATTTAAAATCACAGTATTAAGGAATGGTACCAAAATTAGTCCTCAGGATCCCTGCAGAAGTTAAATCTTAGCACTGGGATACTGTTTTTTCACTTGTCCTTACCTACATTTAGACAACTTCTTATTACAACTTTTTCTAGAAGAAATTTTGTGAACTGCCTGTTTCATAACAGGAGCTAGCACTTTTTGGCAGCTGTGTTTTAAGTGAGAATAATTTATCTTCTATTAGAGTATTTTGCTGCGTAACTGCTGGGAGAAGCTGTTAGCTATGTAGAGTGCAACCAAAAGTGTGAATTGAAGGGAAAATGAACACCAAATTAGTGTGCTGCACTTAGGCTAGACAACATTTCCAGTATACAAAGAGAGGGCTTATTAATTCTGATACTTGTCTCTGTGGGAAATACGGGCCTACAGGGAAGAAAAGTTATGATTGTTTTATACAGTAAATTTCTGAAAGGTTTATGTTGACCAGCTGTTTATGCTTCAACCAAAAGTCCTGTTTTCTTGCCACCACCACCCCCTTTTTTTTTTTTTTTTCTTAGGGAATATACTATTTCCACGGGACTGAAGCAGTGCAGCAGTCGTTTCACTACAAGGTCTGTTAAGCTGATCAGCCATGAGACCTAGCTGGAATGCATAAATCCCAGACAGTGACTAGTTTAAAAGCTTTAACTTGTGTACAATTTATGTCTTGTTGGAATTGAAGACCAAGCTAGGACTTACAGTACTGAGATACCACATGTTATTTTTCTGCTGAGTTCTGCGGAAGTCTGCAGTCTTTTGGAGAGTATTACATAGTAAATATGAGTTGCTGTTAGCTACAATTAAGTACTCTTAATCATCTTAGATAACTTTAAAGCTACTATGTTTTAAAAAAATTATCAAAGATCCATAATTATTCACTATTAACTATGATGGAAATCTGGTAATTGGAACTCTTCTTGGATATGTCTCCATTACTGAGGAAATTAAAATACAACATTGAGTAATGCTTGTTTCTGCCTAAAAGCTTTGCTGCTCTTGGCACATGGAAGTTGCTTTAGATCAGAAAGCTTGAACAGCAAAACAAACGGACTGATGCCCTGCATACAAATCCTTTAAGCTCCTAAAGCCTCAAAAATGTCATCCTTGCTCCAAAGTCCTACACCAGATGTTTAGCAGTCTCGCAACTTGTAGTGCCTTCAGCTTCAGAATAGTTTCCTTATCCCTGTTAGATTATCAGGTGCCAAATGTGTTTTCAAAGTTGAGGGCAACAGAGATACAGGTTATGAAATACAAAATTTATTTCTTCTGATCTTCAAATGTGCAAACTGTTGACCAGGTGTCTTTGAAAACAGGATCAGATTGAATTCAAGAAGCTGAAAGCTTGTAGGAAGGTTGGTGTGCCCTAGTGGGAGACTTTTCCCAGGAAAAACCTTGAGGTGTAGTCTTGGTAGATAAAGTTAGATCAATAATTACACATGATCTCCTAAGGCAATACTGAAAAGGGAGAGAAACCGAGTTCAAGGTTCTCACATTTTGTAGTTCTTGGTATATGTCTGTCCCTTTCTGGATGACAGGCATACTAGTTTCCAGATTAAAAACCAAAGATATCTGTGATAAGGCAGTGCTCATATTTTTCATATGCATATTTTTATATGAAAGAATATCTATTTCCATATATTTTCCATTTATATAGACATTTTCAGTTTGAAAAAGAATTCACATGGCAGAAGAAATTGCTGGCTTTGAACTCTTTGTGCAGATTAACTTATTCAAATATTCGAACTAAATACTAACAGTCTTTAAGAGTACAAAAATGAACGAAACTATTCTTTAAAAAAAAAAACAGTATGCTTAAGGTTTCTTGGGATGTTCCTACCTTTTTCTAGTTTTCAAAGACAAGAAATCAGTATCAGAACATGGGTTATGAAGATTTTTGTCTTCAGATGGGTTTGATTTTTCTTTCAATAAGCTTTTAGTCTGTTTAGGTTGCAAGTGTTTAGGTTGCAAGTCTGGATCCTTCTTACTAAGAAAAATTGAGGTGGGGTGCCTATATACCTTTTGGATTTTGAAATAGGAGTGAGAAACCGAAATTCTTTAGATCTGGTTGTAGTTGCAAACGAGCAGAGGTAGAGCTCAAGCAGTTGTTGAAGTAATGTATACATGGGACTGTCTATCACCTGGAAAGGGCATCCTATAAATTTTGGCCTCGCTAGGCTACTGTGATGGATGGGTACTTTACAGGCATTAAGCAGAAGTTGTTTTTTCTTGAAGGTCATTGTTAGATGTGTGCTGAGAGAAAATGCATTGAGACAAGTGGCTTGTAAGCAAGGCAGCTTCCATTTTGGTAGCTGAAGAAACTGTTGTTGATGTTAATTGTAAGGAACCAAATCAATTTCAGTGAGCACTCCTAAAAATCCCCCAGTAATTTATACTTTAGCTAAAGACACTTTTATTTAAGTCCAGAATCTCATTTGTTAGGTAGTTCATTTAAACAGGAACTTACTAGGCATCATTGGCCAGTATCTATTAACTTAACACGACGTCTGAAATCCATCAGTGGTTAATAAACTGTACTTGCTGCTATAGGGTGTTCCGAGGGTGTCTGACTCATCTGTTTGTCTCCCACTGTCTGCAAAGGGATGGCCTCGGATCTCTGCAAGCACTTCCACAAAAAGCTATTGAAAAGAACAAAAAGCATGATAGGTGCATCCTTACCAAAGCAACATTGTCTGAACAGATAAAAAGATAGCAAAAGAATGAAGTTAGAGTTCTGTATCCAATTCTTAATTAATTTAATTTCCTCTCAGTCTTGAGCTTGTCCCTGTTGATATTTTTCTATAAAGGTAGTCCTTTTCCTTCTTCAAAAAAACCCAGTGTTTCAGCACCAAATGGAAGCGTTCCTCCCCATTTCTGTTATTTCAGAAGTATCCAGTACCGAAGTCTAAAGTAACATAGTTGTATTGCAAATTGGGATATTAAAGTGGGGAATGAGGCATCGGAAGTCTATGTGACTGTCTGCATTGCTTTCAGAAAAATTGTCAATTCATGTAATTGGTACCATTTTTTAGTAAGGGCACTGTACTGTAGAAGAGCCTAGTTTAGGTTTTATACTGCAATTTTAATACCATGATTGGGAACGTAATCCACATGAAAGCTCTTGGTCAGCACCCTAACAAGTGGTAAAAATGAGAGTGGAGACATGTCCTGGAAGATAAAATTAGTAATGCTGTCTTCCTTCAGGATTGATTTCTCCACTTTAGCATCTTTCATGGCAAACAGAAATAGCAATTGGTGTAAAGGTCCATTGGTGTGATATAGCTGGAAGTGTCATTGACTATAAATAGGATAACAGCAGCAACTAAAACCAAGGCATTAGGAGGAGGGCCACTGGAAAAAGAAATCATTGTATCAAATGTCCTATTTTTCTCTATTGTTTTTTAGCTAGTGGTGTTGTTTTACCATTTCCATTTCCAATGCTTTGGAGATCATTCCAAACAAGTCTCTCGTTTAAAAATAAGAATAAAAAAAAAAAGAGAGAAGAAAAGTCTGTATGGGTATTGCATGATGTATTAATTTCCATACATGTACTTGCAGTGAGCCCAGAAAAACATTCAACTTCGAGTCATGTATTTCAGTTCCCAGTAATTACTAGAATAGTAATGTTGGCAGAAGAGTGCCCCTTCAATAGAGGTTTTACTTTTTTTTGTTGTCTTCCTCTTTTCTTTTTGTTTTTAGCCACCAGCTAAATACCTCCTGCCAGAACTGACAGCATCAGACTATGGGAAGAAGTGTGTGGTCATTGATTTAGATGAAACTTTAGTGCACAGTTCATTTAAGGTAAGTAAATTCAAAAGCAATCTCTTGCAACTTGAATCTGTCAGTGAATGTTACAGAAAATGTTAAGCCTTTTAACGCATTAACTAGCCTTACAGGCTTTCCCAGGATGCCTGGTAGTTCTCATTGTTACTTCTATGATTATTTGTCCTAATTTAGCTGTAAGGGGAGTAACATAGACGTTGCTATTTTTTTTTGATTCTGAGAAAGTCATACTGACTGTAGCAACGCCTGGAATAGTATTGACTTCATGGCTTTAAATGGTAACTATTCCAACAAGGACCTGTATTTTAACAGGTATAAAACTTGTTGCTCTGAAAATACGGTTTCATTTTTGATGTTTAAATGATGCCATAGTTAGACTAGGGGAACAGAAAACTCAGCACAGCTTTATGCTAGATAGACGTACCTTAAACCAGTAGTTTTTGGGCACCAGTGATTCCTGTGCTCTGTGGCTGAGAAAATTGCTTTCCGTGTCAGACTGCTGTCCCAATCACAGTTAAGTGTTTTTAAGTATTTAGCTTTCACAACAGGAAAGCAAATAGCATTTAGCTGTCGCTGATGAGTCAGTCATCTTCTAGAAGCAACTTTTATAACCCTTCAGATTTCAGCATGTGGTGGAAGTAGTGGTATTTTTCTATTGTTTAAGTAGAGCTAAAGTTAGAATAGGAGAATTCAGTAATACAAATAACCTAAATTGGCTCCGAGTACTGGTAGCATTTCTGATTAGCAAATGTCAGACATGATAAAGCATCTGCTAGTTTTATACTTGGATTGGAGAATTTATAAGAATCAATAGTAAGTTTCCTTACTAGTAGCAAACTAGAGTTACCATCAACTTTATAGTCTTCTAGTTTTGGTTGCACTCCATTTTTCACTGCTAGCATAAACTCAACATTTTAATCCTGCAATATTTAGCTGCCAGCATTTAAATATGCAAACCGTAATTCATGTTGTGGTTAGAATTTGGCAACAGCCTGTCTTTGTTGACTTAAAGAAGACCTTATATGGAGATACTAGAACAAATATTCCTGTGCCTCAAACTGAAACTGAGATTCTTCTCTGTCTTTATTGTGCCTAATGGTATATAACAATTTGTGGTGGCATACAGGAACCTCTTAACCTCAGTGCCAGATCCTTGTCTTCTATACCCAGGCTGAACTTGTGCTTGAGAATTTTTCAGGGAGATTAGAAACACAGCTGGATTGGGACAGGAGGGACCATACCTTCCTAATTAAATGAGAGTCAAAAATAGGAAGGGAAAGCTGAATTTAAAAGTCTACGTTTACATAAAAATAATGAAGTATTAGGCTTAGTGTTACCTAAAATGTAAAAATGAAAGTTTGCTTTCTGAATGCTGTGGGTAACTTTGTACTGTGATTTGTCTGGTTTTTGAAACAAAATGAGATTCAATTTAGCTGTTTGGTTTGGGTTTTTTTAAACTATTTTAAAGAAATACAAGTTTAATGGTTGACATAGTATAAATCCTTTCTTGTAGGACTGAGGTTTGCCTTTATTGCAGAGTGCTTTCTTAGTGGGCTCATTTTAATTATCCCATTTATTCAGATGATATTTAATGGGTATTTAAATGATGTTAAACAGATATTTAGGAAAAATCAAAAGACTATTCTACTTAATATGAACAGTGAATAATGTTTTCTGATAGGAAAAGAAAACTGGTCCTTTTTTGTGTGAAGTAAATAGTGTTAGGAAAATGTTGGAGTTTCTGCAGTATTAGAGTCTTATGGCTATGATGGCATTATCTTAATGTGAAGCCCTGTGATGTGGTAAGAGAAAACCAAATGTTGGAGGAAATGGCTTTAGTTGTTCAGTGGCTGGCACTGTCCAGTGGTACTGTTTGGATTTTGTTTCACAAAGGGAAATACTTCAGCTGAAGTAAACGCGTTGTGGTCATCAAAAATAACAATGGATTTCCATAAGAGCAGGGGGTTTAACACCTCTATGCGCTTCTCTGCCTGAATAATCAAGTTACTTCTGCAGTTTCTTTTAGTTGGGGTTTTTGGGGGTTTGGTTGTTTGGGGGTTTTTTTCACTAAAACATGTCTGCTCTGCCCAGGCAGGTCCCCACTTAAAAGCTGTAAAAGCATACATAAATTTGTGATTTTTAGTACAAAAGGCTTTATTTAAAACACATGATACTTTAGAATTCATAATTCTGTTATGAAATAGGCTTCATATTTCAAATGCAGATAATTTTTTTTAACACAACCAGAAAGGCAAAGTATTTAAAGTGCTCTTTTATGAAAGCAGCAACATCTGAAGGAGGGTAATTCTTGTCTTTTTATGCCCCTGCATATTTGTGAAGCTTTAAGGAGGTACTAGTCTTTCATGTTAAGTGCATATTAAAGGAATAAAATTTGGGGTGCTTTGGCAAGAGTAAAAAAGGAACAGATAGACATTATAGTTATCATTCCCATCATAAAACAATAATAGAAGCAAAAATCCTAAATTATTAAATCAAGGAGATGTAAACATGGTTTTGTATAAAATGAATTAAACCACATGCAAGTCTAGAATGTAGTCATATTCAAAACTGGCTGTGAAACACTTCTAGAACATTTAAAACTCTGAAGCTTTTTATTAAATAGTAGCAGTTCTAACTGAAGTAAAGATTTTCAGTGGAAATACATTGTCTTCTTTCACGCTCTGTCTCTGTGGTTCCCACTCGAGGCACGTACGTGTTTCACCTGTGCAACCCTAGAAACCTGTATCCAGCAAATTGCTGCAGACTTCTCTCCTGTCTTCCCATCATGATGAAGCACAGAACCCCAGTCCGTGCTCTCTTCCTTATCACTTGTGCCAACAAGAAAGCTACGTAGTACCTAAAGTATAAGTGGTTTATGTAGTTTAGAGTAGTTTGGTTAGTGTTACAAAGTCACAAATGGTGAGCTTTATTTGTTAGCAAAAATGAAGTTGTCTAAACAAAATGTGGTTTTCTCTGACATCTGGTTGGTGTTGCTCCTGTTGAGAAAGTTTAGTAGTAGCCGTAGTTTTATCAGTGGGCTTCAAAACCTTAGCAGCTTGAAATGACCTGTTCTTTTTCTGCTGGTACAGACTATTTATCTTGCTTAAGGGAGTCATGCATATATAAATTCTTCAAGTGCGTGCAAGTCTCTTCAAAGAATGCAGGGAGCTGGCACCCGCTTGAAAACTAATGGCTGAGTCTTACTGACAGTTCATTTGGGATTCTTTTAAGGTGAAGCTTCAGAACGTTTTTGTGTACCTGTTCTGTGGCTATTAGAGATGCTGCAGAGTATCTTCTCTGTCTGAGGGGCTTCATGCAGGTAACAGGTGGGACCCTCCCCTCTGTCTTTTTCAGGAGCAGAAAGGAGGATATATCTTGTAAATTGCTGGATGTCGGCTAAAAAAAAAAATCTAGATTGTATCTGCAGGTATTTGAGGAATTCTTTAGCTCAGACTAGCACAGTGGTCATCAACAGGATGTTTTCCAGCATCAGCTGCTCTGGAGGTTTGGTTGTCAGTACTGGTTGGTCAGGACAGAGTCAGTGTAGCTTCTCATTTGCCCTCTGACACAGCACTTGCCGATGTCGGATCAAACCATCTTCTGTATTAACTTTGCTACAGAGAGAGGGTGTTGCCCTCCATATAAATTCTTATGGTCATTTGACAGTGGAATTAGAATCTCATTTTTCCAGGGAATGGGATCGAAGTGATGCTATCAAGTTAATACTGCAGGATTCTTTTCTCCTACCATTTTTCACAGAGCACCTGTTTAGGCTCACCAGTTTGTGATCCGCTTCTCAGTCTCTACCTAGACTGCTTCTCTGCTTTCTTGGCAACGCCTTGCCCCCCCCAAATGGGTTTGAAGACTGTTTCTAGTCTCGCAGATTCTTCAGGGGCACCTCCTTGGTGGTACTTGAGATCAGTCTATTGGCTGATCCAGAAAACCAGATGGGGAAAGTCTGTACAAGTCTGGTAGAGCTGAGTGAAGATGTTTTCCAGCCTTAGCTTAGTAATGCCATACCAGTTACCAGCCAGACTACTCCCAGCCTTTGTTTTAGGCTGTTATCCATGAAGCATGCTGTCTGTTAATCAGTTGTGTTAAAACTGTATTTGGCAGCTCTGTGTCTCAGCCATTTCCAAGCTGCAGATAATGGAATGAGTTACAAACTTCAGCCAGGCATTTTTTTTTGTTTTTTTTTTTTTTTTTTTTTTTTTTTATCACGGACGTAGTGCATGAGCTGTGCCAAAGGATTCTGCCAAGTTTGATGTCCGTTTGAACTAGTAAACACTGTTAGCAGCATGTTCCCCAACGACCACTACTGCCTAGCCAAGATTAGACTATGTACTCTTAAGCTGTCACAGGGACACTTTCCTGCTTTCCAAAGTAATTTTACTTGACCAACAGTTTTTTACAGTAAGTCCTAAGAAATAAGTTTTATTCAGCAGACTAGAAAAATGGATTCAAGGACTTGGACAGAATATGCCTGCTCTTCCCTTTTGAATTTAAATGCAGTTTTACATGATGAATTTGATTGGCATAGCATGATCTTAAGGTATCACCTCTTGTGGATCATTTAACTATACAACTTAAGTCTTGTTGCAGCTTGTTACAGCTCCTGATTCAAATATAAATCTTAGGTATTACTTTTACCACTGTCTTTATTTTTCATTAATTACTAATTGATGACCCAGAGTAGAACATGTGAAGCACATAGCTGAATTTCTTTGTCATCATCCACACAGACTTGATGAAAGCGTTACCCAAATAGATATTTTCCCTGGTAAACACACTCAGTGGTAGTGAGGGTTATTCAAGCAGTAAAGCCTACTACATTGTATGAAGCTTAAAAACATAAGAGAAGAGGGAGGTGCAGTATCTGGTGAATAGAGCTGTGTAAGGCTTCTGACTTGCATGTGTAAAGGGTGCATACACAGAGTGGATCTGTATAGTCAATAATGCTTATTAACTTGTTCCTGAGAAGTAAATACTCTTCTCTTTTATGCCTCTGAAATATTTCCTCTAATAATCATATTTTTAATGTTGATTTATATCCTTGTCATTCTTTCTAGCCAATTAGCAATGCTGATTTCATCGTTCCTGTTGAAATTGATGGAACCATACATCAGGTAAGTACTGTTGTTCCTTTAGCGTTGTTCTAGTAGTGGAATTGTCCTCAGTGTCCCAGAGTGTTATCTTTGTCTATTTGCTGCTTTCCATTCAATAACTTGTCCTTTTGCAAAATACAAAAGCTGTGTACTCTGGAATATATCATCCAGACAGGCATCCCTGTTTGATCAGGTATGTAGTTTCTAACTACTAAGTCTCAATTTTAACTTTTTCAGTTCTCCAGAATATCTCTCTCAGGACTTCAGTACTTGACTCTGTCAATTTTAAAATGTTTTCAAACATTCCTAGGCCCAGAAAAAACTACTTGAATACTGCATTTCTTATTCCCTCCACAGACAAACAAGACATAAGTTGGCTTTAATGTCTGTTGGTAGTTTGTATGGACAAAGCTTTATAAAAGTATTAAGGAAGAACATTTCTTCAGGGTTTGTGACAATCTGTGTTTAAGTTCTGTCCCCTTTTCTTCCTGCAAGTAGTTTAAGTTCCTCTGGTAGGACTTTTTAATACACTTCAGCATCTTCAAAAGGTCTGGACAAAATTGCAAGGAGACTAATTTATGTCTTATTCTTTAAGAACTTCAGTTAAGACGCTGTGAAATGGTTTTCAGTAAATGCAAAATACCCATAATTTGAAAATCAGTCCCCTTCATGTATCTTAGCTTGGTGTCTTTAATCAGTAGTCATTTCTGAAAACATCGAATGAAATAAATTACAGTGCCGTAAATTTTCCTGTTCAGACAGACATTAAAGCTCTTGCTGGAGACAGGTTATACTGGTTAATGTGAAGTTGAGCCTTTCTGATATATGAATCTTGCAAATTGTTTGAAACATCTTCTCTTGCATGTTGTAGGTTAAAGACAGTGCAGTTATTGAGTTGCAAATCTTCCCTGGATATGATTTAATGGAGATTTTAAATACTTCAATTTTTGAAATGTTTTATATGGATTATTTTTACTTAGACAAACACTTTCATATTTTGATCTTGGAACAATTGATAGATCATAAAGTTAGTTCATAGTTCTGTTAGATTTCCTGTTATGAAAACCATCCATGTACTTGTTACTCTTAAAATAATTACTAAATATAAGTCAATGGACTTAAATGTGTTTTAAAGTGATAGTGGCTTTGACAGTTTTTATACTGTGCCTGTTTTATGTAGAAAAATTCAATATCTAGGGTATTTAAACCTGTAATGTTCACCAGAGCTGAATGCTCATCACATAAGTGATACTTTGGGAGGTTTGTATTGTGGTATTTTTGGTCCTCATTTGATGTGAGCTTTAGTTGTGTTTGTTGCTGTAACGTAGACATTTTCTCTCGTAAAACTTTCTAGAATGCTTTTGAAAAGGAATAAAATAGGTTACCTAACAATTTTGAGTGGCTTAGGATTGTGATCGCTTAGCTTGTCAAGATTATATATTTACATTTTGAAACAAAACCCAATAAAAGACTGGGCTTTACACTGAAGCACTTCAAAGCCTGTTGCTTTTCCGTCCCCTGCTGCAAACTTTCAGATTCTTCACCAAACGTAATGCAGTTAGGCACTCAAGGTGACTGCATATGGGAAAAAGAAAACCAAACCTAACTGGTCAAAGGGAGTGGATTTGCCCATACCCTAAACATGAACAGGAGGAAGGATGCTTTTGACAGAGAAGGTCAAATGAAGTTAGTCTCTGTGGTTTGCTGGAGACTTCCTCAATAATTTTCAAGGAAATTGCTTAATCCCTTTGTATTTCAAGTTCTTAATCTCTACAATAGGTAAATATCTCAGTCCCATCTGCATGGTAGAAATGAAGTTAATTGTAAGGAATTTGTGATCCTTGAAATAAAGGTAATTTATATGGTATGCAGAATAGGCAAAGTCTTGGATTCCTGTGTTTGTAATACCTCTGCAGGCAAAGTAATGTACTGTCATCCAGCAATATTTATTTATTTATTTGTAAACTGTGATAATCTTAAGGACGAAAGTGGATGTTCTGGCTTAGTCCGATGTGCATTAACACAGACTGTAGAGCTTTGACAACCAGTTCCCACTTCACACCTGTAATTTTTTATTCACTTAGAGCATAAACAAACCAATAACAACAATTTTTGTTATCTGTCAAAATTTGTCATCTGTATAATGTTTGTCCATTTTCTTAAGCAGTTTATATACTCAAAGATTAATCATTGGCATTGGGAAATACTTCCACCTGTTTAAAATATCACAGGATATGTGAAATGTTGTGGAACCATACTGTCTGTAGTGCGTATCCCTACCTGCTTTACCAGTAAGCATGATATCTTATCAAGCAGGAGATTGTCTGTTCAAGTTCTTCTTGTACTTGAGCTGTGCCTTAGAGCCCCATGGAAAACAAATGAAGACCGCCATTTCAGAAGTGCCCCTTCAGAAGGAAATTTGAAATTATACAAGATACTTCAGATCTTATGTACCAAAAATACAAATTGTGGCAAATTCAATTTCTGCATGTTTGAAAACTGACTTATCTAACAAGTTTTGTTCATGGTAAATGTTGTGATTTTTTTTGTTGTGCAACAGAGGTATTCAAAACAGGCTGTCTCTAGTTTGGGAATTTGCATTTTCCCTTATGTCATTTATAATCCAAAGGTCAGAAAGACTCTTGTTCTTCTATAGGGAGGACAATTCAAATCATCATCTGAAAGGGTGCTTGGATAAACCAGCTTCCTTAGATTAAAAAATAGCTTTTTCTGAACATCCCTTGACCCTCTCCCATCTTTCTTTCTCTAGCTTAATTTACCTTGTCTTTAGAAAGGATTCGTCATTTTATTTTACAAGGAAATAACTCATGTGTGCAGGTACCTCTCTTTCTTTCTGTTATGGGTCTTTCAATGCCTGCAGAGACTGTGCCTGTCTACAGGGCAGCTAAAGTTACAGGAGATGAATCCCACGCTTTGTGTTGGAAATGATGGCACAGATACAAAAGGGCAGTTCTGATGCAAGCTGACACTCTTCTGGCCAGTTCTCTCATTTCGCTCTCATTCTCTGAATAAAAGGAAATCAGAGCTGGTCCCCTACTCTACCAAATTATAAGTGAGAAACTGTAGGAAGTCCAGCGAAATGTGTTGCAACTGAGAGGGCTTTTTAGAGGAAGCTTTTTGAGGGTGAAAGTAGTGGCTGGAGAAAGATGTTCAACCTGTTCGGTACCCTTGACGTAACTTCTGCAAGAACATGTCCACTGTTTTGGAGTGTGCTTCCCATTTAACAAGTGCAGAGCAATCGCAACCCCCGGATTGGAAACGATGTGTTAAATATAGCTTTAATCCTCTATAAGTGAAGATTTTTAGAGTGTGGTGGTCCTTTGTCTTTTATCCAAATTGACTCGCAGTGCCTTTTGTGCATTGCTGTCGGTGTCAAAGAGTAAAGGCGGCTGCCAGGAAGTTTGATTTGGTGTTACTTGGAATTTCATTCTTGAATGTGATTTGCTTAAGTGAGTAAAACCAGGGGGTTTTAAGTGTTTTGTTTTGTGGGGTTTTTTTAATTCAATGAACAATGCTTATTTTTAGTTGTTGAAAGCTAAAGAAATGTTTTTCATGTATACTTTGAATGCAGTGTACAAAATGATTGTTATTGGTGGGGGAGAACACTGTTCGAGTAATAAAGTTCCTTGCTATAAAGGACAAAATTCATTGATTTTCTTACAGAAGGCTGTGGCCTGGTTCAAGTAATCCAGGATAGGCTGTATCCATTCTAGCTGGCCTATTCTTGGTTACTTGCACTGGGAGGCAACCACAACTGTGTGAACCAGAAAGACGGAGGCTCGAGGACACGTGTTATTTTCTGCTCGCTGTTAAGAAGATGCACCCAGTCCACAAAACAGGAGATTACAGGAGCTTGAGTTGTCATGGGCAGATTTATTTGTCATTCCTTGAAGATTTCATTATTGTAAAGCTGATTTTGAAAGGCAATTTTTTGTGTCCTATTTAATTGATTAAAATTGAGCTGGGTTTCTCTTTTGGTTTACAAATACTGAGTCTTTTTAGGTTAAGACTGCTTTGAGGTATAGAAAATGTGTGTGGAAATACCAAATGCTTGAAAACAATTAAAGATAATTACTTGGGTTCTGCCATTAGCAGCTCTAAGTACAGAATCCTGTGAAAACATGTCTAGTGCCTGATTTGTGCCATAGCGTTTTAAAAGTAGGGTTCATTTTTTTAAAAAAAAGACTGTATTGCTCTAAAATCTTACTGTGATAAGTAAGAAATTAGCAAGCATTCAGTAAAGAAAAACTGGAGGGTTTGGGTTTTTTTCTAATGCCCTGAAGACTGTATATAAATCTCAGAAAAATGCCAGGAGCCAGTCAGTCTAGAGACTTAAACTGAAGACATCAGGCAACAGAGGAAAAAGCCAAGCCACAAATAACCATGCAGCATTGAGATTCAAGTCCAGCCGCTAACAAAGTAAAGGGGAAAAAATTCCAAATGAGGAGGAAGAGGAGAAAAGAGCTGCACTGTCAGCTGAAGAAAGCTTTTTATGTGAAGTAAACCAAAGAGATTTTGTAGCCCAGGATACCAGTGCACTTGCAGTTGCTTCCAGGATCTAAGTAGGACTTCTCAAAAAAACTTAAGGAGAATTACCATCCAGTGTATTAAGATCTGTTGTTCTCCAAAAAAAAGTGTTGTTTAAAAAAAAGAAAAAAAACCACCACCCACAAAAACAGGTGAAGGAGTTTGGGCTTTTTAGAGAGGGGGAGAATTAAGGGGAAAATATGGTGAGACCTCATCCTAAGAGATCACATTTATTATTAAGAAGGCATTTAACGTGAGAAGCAAATCTGTTGGCCAGAGCCCAATAGGTAAGATTTCAGGTAAAACAGCAAGAGCAACTCAAGTAGAGGAGGTTGAGGGTGCTCTGTGGTGGATCAGGAGATCTAAACTGCAGAAGGGAGACAATACAACTTAAAACACTGTGTACTTATAGCTAATACTGACTAGTTGCAGTATTAGGAGACCTACGAATTGCCAAAAGAGCACATATTGCAAATACTTGCTTTTATAAGCCCACTCCTGTCCGCAAGCCTGTGGTTAAGCAGCACTCAGTCTGTAGCTACTGGGTTGATTTACTGTATGCTCTCTTTATGGAGGAGGTGGGTTATGTTGCAAGCAGCAAAGTTCATATCCTTGGCTTGGAGTTTGTAATTACATTCCAAGTGGAAATACTTGACCGACACAGGCGTAGATAGGGATTGAGAGTGAAGAGGAGACTTCCTTTGCTGTGGCTGAAAACACTAGGTTTTAAACGGGAAACTAATACTAGATTCCATCACTAATTATCTAAGAATGAATTTAAGACTTTGGGGCGTCCCTTTTGTGCCCTCAAAAATAAGTGTAGGATTATAATTTAAGGCTAAAGAATTAAAAACTTCTTATGAACTGTAGAGTTAAGGAGTAACTCGCATCCTGCTATCTTTCCTCTTATAACTGGCAAGTGGGATAGTCTCTTTCTGCATACCCAGACGCAGAGGGACTGCAACTGTCTTTTGACCTGTGTCTTTAAAAATTTGAAGATATAATTTGGAAAGGAAATACTACAGAACAACTTCATGTAGTAAGATTTAAGTGAAAAACTAAACTGCATTTTTGTAGGAGAGGAAATTACTTGGTTTATGCCTAGTGTAATACGGGAAACTTTGCTGTAGTTTTGTGGAAACAGTGGTGTTGAAGTACATCTATGAACTGTCTTTAATTCATAAATTGTCACATTTATTTAATTGATTGGTTAAGTGCTGCTGTGGTTGTTTAAAAAAAATAAAAAATCTGGGTTACAAATTGTTATCTGTATCAAAGTTTGAATGTATTGCTTGAATTTGAGGGGCCAGAGGTAGTTTAGTTAAACTTCATAGAAATAACTTAAAGCAGATCATGTATTCATGCTATGAGCTGAAGTGGAAAAGTAATTAACATTTCTGCTTTGGTCATTAAGGTACAGCTCCATCATACATGTTTTTAATAAAACTTTGCTTTCAGATTTAGGTTTTCAATTTCAAGTCCCTATTATACAACTTTTTTTTTTTCTTTTCCTAAAGGCTTTAATTGTTACACTTCAGTTCAAGCTGCCATTTCCGTATTTTTCTCCTTCAGGCTTTTTTTCTGGGTGCCTTATGTTTTTTTACTTCCTTATTAATATGAATTTAGAAAAATACATACAGTTAATCTAGTTCTATATATCAAAGAAATTCCTGAAATTGCATCAGTCTTGCAGTTCTTCCTGAATTCAGTTACATGCCAGACTGTTCCGCTTGAATTTTACCAGAATTAAGGATTATTTGCCAAATGAAGAAGATAAAGTGCTGCCAGTGTTTACTCTCAAACTTTTAATCTAAGTGCAAACAAGATAGAAAAATATTTTTCAAGCAGACTCCCCTCTTCAGCTTCACAGTATATTATGAACTACTTGTAAGCTTTCTGAGCAGCAGTTATCTTATCTTGGTATTTTCTGTGAATGAAATCATCTTCCTCGCTCTGAAAAGAGAGGCAAGGAGGCTCTAATACCTATTAATCAGGTTGTTGACAGTAGGCAGCCAAGCTTGCCTGTATGGTTGTCAGTGCAAGCAGGCAATATAGCGTTGCTGAAACCAAGCTGCTCAAGAGGAGAGAGATCCTGAGTATTTGCCATCTTTATGCAAGGTCACGGTAGAAGATGCTGTAGACTTTGCCACCAGATTTTGAAAGCAGCATTTGCTAGACATTTTGCATGGTGCTATGAAGATTTTTGGTGAAAGCTGTCTGCAGATCCAGATGACTGATAACTATCCATAGTAAGATATGGTACTTAGCACCTGGAATTTAAAAAATGAAAGAATTAGCCACAGGAAGAAAACAGTTTCCTGTTGTGCAATTGCTGTCATCATAGAGGTTTCATCAGATTTATTCCTTCTGTGAAGCTCTTCAGGACTGAAGACAGCAGCACCAAAATCATTTCGGTCAAGAGATCGGAATCCTCACTTCTTGAGAAGCCCTACTGTCTCTCTTTGCCTTTAATGAGATTTTTCAAGAAGCATCTCTCCAGATGATGCACAGTATTTGCAATTGCATAATCAGCATGGGTCTTGGCAGCCCATGCATTCAAATTTCTCATTATTGGATGTCTACTTTTATCTTGTATACTTTTTTTCTCCCTTCAGTATTCCGTTTGAACTGTTTCCATGTTAACTTTTATTTCTTCAAGCGTTAGGATTACAGGAGCGTTTGGGGTTGTTTTTTTTCCCTTTCCTGTTACCTTAAATACCATTTAAACCTAAATAGTCATTATCATTCCAGGTTTATGTATTGAAACGACCACATGTGGATGAGTTTCTTCAGAGGATGGGAGAGCTTTTTGAATGTGTACTCTTCACAGCCAGTCTAGCCAAGGTTTGTTCCTCTCTTCATCTCGTTAGCCCTTACAGTGCTGGTCAGTGGACTTTTGGTTGGGTTTTCTATGGATAATTATTTCCACAGTTGGTACTATCTTAATTTTTCCCCTTCTTTTCTGCTTCTTTGTCTGACAGTGTGTACTTTGTCTGCTAGTGTGTGGGTAAGTGTTTCCATGGTAACACCATCACATATGGGCTTGTCTCATAATGTAGCCTCCATGCATTGCTCATAATGCCAATATGAAAGGCTTACAAGTTACCATGGTTATAGTGAGAAATTAGAACAAATAGCGTGCAAGTAAAGCTGTATATTAAAGCTGGGCATGAAATAAAATACACTGTATTTAACGCTATCAACATGATCAGCCAGCAATTCAGAAATTTACTGCATCTGAAAATTGGGAACACGTTTTTGTTCTGTCAAGGTGCAGTTGCAATCTGGAGTTAGAAAATTAGACATTTTGTAAAGCTTGAAACATCAACAGGAATATTTTGTGCCCTCTGGTCTCCAGTAGCAGTAGTACCTCGTAGGTAGTTTTGTGGTAGACATTACAGTAGTAGACATCTTAAATTCTTCACTTCTTTCAATGTACTGTATTTGTGGTGTCTTGTTTGTAAAATACACTGATTATTTCTAAATAATACTCCAGCATAGTAAGCTTTTACTCCAACCTAGGGTAGAGATGGTGGAAGGGGACAGGACCCTGTTTGATCTGCACTAGTGCCCTCTTATCAGAGGATTCTTCCCTGCGCTCTGTTTACCATGTTCTGTTCAGTCACATTGTGAAAATCCTAAACAATGGAACAATTTCATACTGCACTTAGATGTCTAGCGGTTTTCATAGTCAAAGGATGATTGATTTCAACATCAGTTTCATTTCTCAGTTTAAAATATAGGAAAATGGTAACTCCTATCCTGCAAAAATAAATTACAACTACCATTTCCAAGTACGTGGTTATTTCATGTTCTAGTTTATTTGGATACTTTTCCTTGGACAGTTTATATCAATTGTTGGATTCTAAGCTGTGCCTCACTTAAAGTATCATCTTATATATAAAATAAGAATTTCCCAGTATTGTATGTGGGTATTTTTCCTAATAACATCTTTGTCTGATCTTTTATGGCCCAATTATGCAGTTTGGTAATCTTAAGATTCTTACTGACCCAGTCACTCCAAGGGCATCATTTGAAAAAGCTACATTGAGCTCACATGCGTTTATTGCAGTTTATCTTCAGAGGCACATGGAAATGAATCAGCTGTGGAAATGGCTTCATATAGATTTTCTGTTAGCAGTGGCTGGTTTTATGGTAATGTTAGGTGAGATCCCTGGATCCATCAACTTATAGGTAACTCCTAGGGTAACTATAAGTTGGCCCTAAGAATAAAACGTAATTGATAAATCACAGAAAACATTAGAGTGCAAGTTAGCCTTCCATAGAAAGATAACCATCCTACTTTTGTGTTATCTATTAATTACTTCAGGTTTGCAGGCATGTAAGTTAATTAACAAGGAGCAGGGAAGAAAATGAAGAAAGGGCATTTTATCTGAAATTATTTTGGGTCCCTTCTTTGTATAGTTCTGTGAAGTAGCCTTATCTGCACATTGCTAACTTCATGTTTCTGACTTGTATTTTTAAGTACGCAGACCCAGTAGCTGACTTACTGGATCGCTGGGGTGTGTTCAGGGCAAGGCTCTTTAGAGAATCCTGTGTTTTCCACCGAGGAAATTATGTGAAGGATCTGAGTCGACTGGGACGTGAGCTGAGTAAAGTTATTATAGTAGATAATTCTCCTGCATCTTACATCTTCCATCCTGAAAATGCAGTAAGTATTCTTAGTATTCAAAGTATTCAAGTGTAACTTTATTTTTCTGGTCCTTGCCCAGACTTTCTCTTTCAGAAAATAGCCTTTCAGAACGCTAACTAGCATTAGTTTCTGTGTTTTCTTAGACTGCAGGTAGGTTTGGGTATTCACTGCCAAATGGTGAAGGACTAGGGCAAACTGATCTCGACAACGTGTCGTAGTCGTGACCGTTCATCTGCTTTCAGTTTTAGCTTTTGGCATGAAGTCCATCAGTTTTGAGAAATACCGAGTGGTGTAGAACCTGCATAACCAACCTAGCTCTAAAAGCAAAGCTGCCCTCCAGCACAGTTTCTGTTCTTTGGAGTGGTGATTACAGAAAGGGTGGTTGACTTTAACTGTTTTTGGTACTCCATCTTTTTTCATTGTGTGAATGAAAATATTTTATTAGACAAGATAATTAATGCTTTACTGGTTACTATCTGAGTTCTGTATCCGTGGCTAAGGGGAAGAAAAAAATCAAGATCCTATTGTGTTGTTATGCTTCTCCTTTTAAGTATTTTTGTGATAACTCACTTCACAATTAGAAATGTTGGTCAACAAGTTCACCAGGTTTTAGGAATAAGGATAAAAGCCAGGCAACAGTACTTCAAGGGAGAATAATTAGGAGCAATACGCATTTTCACTGTGTGTTTCATATTGGCTCCAGTAGCTATGATGGAATTGCTCCATCCATTGCTGCAATCAGTACAGGTGCTCGCATCCGTTTTGTAGCTGCCAGGATAGCAAGCTGGAACTCCCCTTAGATCTACTGACTTCTAAACAATCAGGCTGTGCAATGTTTTCTTTGATGTTTTTAGGCTGCCTTTTTTGTGAGCTGTTAAAATTAACGTACGAAATTTTTATTAGGGACGCTGTTTTGCATGGTCCTGCCTCTCCAGGATAGCATGTTTAGTTTTTTGGGGTTTTTTTTGACATGAGCCATTTATCTTGCAGCATTCAGCTTTTAAATTCACATCTCAATACTGCAATGGTCTAACTGATTGGGTGAAAACATTTTTCTGGTTGGTGCCACACATGGTTTAAAGTTGCTATTTATAATAACCAGGAGCTGTAGCTCTAATTTATGTTCATGGTTAAAATTAAAAACCTGATCCAGATCATCATTTGGTATCTCGGAATTCAGTGCCAAGAAAATAATGAGCTGTAGAAATTTGGGAGATGAAATTAAAGGCCTTGTCAGAGTGGTTTAATCATGTATAGAAAAGTGCTGCTAGCTAACTGATATTCGAGTCTCTGCAGAAACCAGAGCTTGTAACAAGATCCAAGATAGTCTTTAAAAGACCTCAGTATACTTCCATAGTGAAGATACACAAAACTCCTTCACTAAACCCAGCCCACATATTTAAGAAGTGTTATTATGTTATTATATGCATTATTTTCTGAACCTGCTCTCAAGGTCTTATATTTTAATCAGAGAACTGTTCTGTACTCACTGTTTAAATATTTGCTCTGCAACCTCATGCCAGAAAGGGTTGTTGCTGCATGCCTATGTTTAGTGACTCACACTGATAATACTTAGAGGGGAAAAAAAGACTTGCCCATAAATAAAGTGTCAGTACATCTTCATAACCTGTATGTTTCTTCCAGTCCATTCTGAATATCAAGGAGGCAGAGCAAATTGAGCTGCCCAGTGTTGGTCATGTAGGTTACCTGTAGGAGAAGGTCAGCTGCATGTCAAATGTTTTATAGTTGGATTTGGGATTGATGTTGCATAATAGAAAATGCGGACTTGAACGTGGTACTCTGCTTGAATGCTAACAACTAGCAATTTGCCTTACTGTGATGGCAGTGAGTATTACATGACATTTACATAAGCAAAACTTGCATGTTCTTCACATCATGAAGTCGTCTTAGTATTTGTTGGTTGCTTTGTTTCAGGTGCCTGTGCAGTCCTGGTTTGATGACATGACAGACACAGAGCTGCTAGATCTTATTCCTTTCTTTGAAGGACTAAGCAAAGAGGAAGAAGTTTACAGTATGCTTCATAAACTCTGCAACAGGTAGCCCTTAACTTTGACTGACTTCTGCTACTAGATTGCAGTTGCTAGAGGCTGTCTCCATCTTTTTCAGCTCTTTCAAATGTAAGCTTTGGGGAGGTCACCCCTGTCAGAAGTGCTACTCTTGATCTTCCTGTTACATTGGACACGAAGGACAATCATGAGTGATGCTATTAAGCCTTCAGAAGCCTGACTCCTAAGGTCATGTGTTCAGACTACTTTTTTAAAGGAAAAAAGAAAAAAAAAAAAAAAAAGAAAAAAAAAAAAAAGCTATTTTAAATGGGACTCTTTTAATGAATTTCATAAATGGACATCTTTTACTGGATCAGCTTTTCTTAAAACATGCCAAAAAAGAAGCTTGTATTTCAGCAGTTGAATTTCTCTCCCTTTCTTCCCCTCCCACTATGCAGACAATTTTACCCCCCTGCTTAGAGCAGTTGACCTGACTCTGAATTTTTTCTTACAGAATGAAGTGCCTTTTTGAATGTTATTTTAAGATAAAAATTCATTTTTGTATAAGACGTATTTCCAGACATCTTTTAGTCTTGTATTGTCTAAATGCTTTAAAAGGAAAAAGGAAAAATTTTATAGAGCACTGTAATATATAACAAAGGAAAAAGTTGAAACAAAGATGCTGGGTTCTTGTCTCCACAATGACATTAAGTTGTATTACATTTTGTCATGCTCAGAAGGTTTAAGCGTTTGTGGGAGGGGTGATTTGGGTTAATTACATGGTTGTTTCACTGATACAATTTTGGGCACAGTTTTGAACATATCTGCAGTTGTTTGAGTATTATAGAATGATGGAATTGAGAAAGTAAGGTGGCTAATAGATCTAAAGCACCTTTTATTCTAGACAGATGAAGTTCTATTGTCTCTGCTTACGCACAACTGCCATGCCTCTTATTTTTTGGAAAACCATTATCTTGGGAGAATGGGGAGGAGATCTATTTATTAGTTTAAGATTCTTTTCTTTAAAAAACCCATCTGGGTAAGCTGGATCTGTATTGAGCTGTTTGGAGTACTTTTTTTCTTTTCATTGCTGCTACTGTATACTCACCAAATGGAGTTGACCATCGGCTGTTATACTGTTTTTGCCACTGTGCCTGTGCTATGAAACATGTTCTGTAAGCTGCAAACTTGGGCAATAAATAAAGTGTAGGCTTCATAGCCCACCCCTAGGTATTAATCCTATGGTATCTTGATATACCAGAGAACTCAGTTAAAGGTGACCTGTAAAGGACTTTATTTTTTTTTTAATTATTTTTCTTCAATTGGGATGAAGCCCTCTCCTTTCTTTGGTGTATAAAAATGAAAAAAGTATTTTTCCCACATCTCTGATTTGTATTTCTTCTTCCCCAGGGTGTAATGTACAGATTAGGACCTTTATTGAGTCTTGCTGGAAGGGCAGAAGTTACTAGCCTAGACTAAAATTGGTCCTCCGGCTTTGGAGTTGAGTAAGTCTCATCTCTGAATCTGAGAACCTGCTTAGCATCTTCTGTAGTGTCATAGGTGCCCTTTCAAACAAATAACTTTTAAATATTTTAAGCCTTTGAAGAACAAGGCCCAGGATTTGTTGGTTTTTTCCCCTTTCCAGTGTCACCTTTTCATTATTACCCACACCGTAAGTCTGCAAACGTAAAAATCACAGCTATGTTTGGCTGTCATCAGAGAAAACTAAATGGAGTTGTTGGTGCTTCTAATTAGCCTAGTGCTAAATCCTGAATAGTAGATCCCCTTTGTCTTTTCTGTTTTTCTCAAAAAGTCTTGACGACTTTGAAAAAATAATTGTAATGGACTTGGATTGTCATCCTTGTCTAACGCATTGGTGAAGCAGCTTAACAAATTCATTCATAGAAGGGCAGGCCAGCCTACACAGGCAGTGAGTAGATTGTCATAGGTGCAGTATAAAACTGAAAGATGACTTGCCCCCTTGCAGTGCAGCTGTGCTCCAGCTGCTTGCTCTGTCTCGTAGCGAGGGATGTTGGAGGCAGTCCCATGACGCTCATGAGTCTGTACGGCATCACCGTTTTGTTTTCTTACTGGTTGGCATTACCTTCGTACTGTATAATTCTGTGCCACAACAAAAGACAAAACTGTCAAATTTTAAAAAAAAACAAAAAAAAAACAAAAAACAAACAACCTATGTTGTTTAAAAAATGAAAAAAAAAGGACGTATGGATTCTGGTTAGTCCATTAACGTTTACTTTCAGTTTAAGATTGTTTAATTTTGTATTTGACTTCAGAGTAATGAAACTGTAAGCTGCCAAAAAGTTGTTCTCTGAGCAGTATTTTCAACTGTGTTTGTAGCTTCTAGGCTTCAAATACAGTTTGCAGGGAAGTATTCAGGTTGTAGTTAATTGTGCAGGTATGATAGGAATGGCTGAAAAAATTCAAAGACTTTCTCACTAGCATTAGACCAAACAATCTTTCAATTAGACAATAAATAACCCCACCGAGACATTGCCATTTAACGGTTGTGACCTGTTGTACGTGAGACAAACCATGTCATTAGTTTGCATTTATGAAAGCAGCGATTTCATGAACCAGTTGCCTTAAGTCTGTGAATGAATGTTGATTATTAAAGTGTCTTGTATTGTTTTAAAATCCGCATATAATGGACAACTGAACTTCTGCACCAGCTTCTGGAAGAATGGTTCTGATGATGTTCCGTACAACCATACATGTTCTGTATTGTTTATTTTGGCTCCTGAAATCCACAAATTTTAAAAAAAGAAAGAAAAAATATTTTAACTTAGTACAGCACTAAAGTGACACTTGGTGGTAATACAAAGGTGAAAAACTTAGCAACATTTTTGATCTTTGCTAGTATCTTAAGAGTATTTTCTATAACTTCTGATGAAAAAAAATTTTTTTAACTCATTCCCATTGAAATAAAACTTGGAGCACTCTGCAGTCAGGTTTGGACTTCCCTGGGTATTCAGATTTGGCCAAAGGGATCAAACTGTCGTAGTTGTTTATTTTGACACTATCATTGTACTTGAAATTTCAAGTGTTAAGTTTGCGTGAATATACATACGCTATATATTTAGAGTTTCTAGATTTTAACAAAGCAATATAGTTCTGTCCATAAAGTCAGATAATGAGTGGAATGTTTGTAAAATTTGCAATACGGGTATTTGATTGTATTTTAAATACAAGATTTTAAAAGTTAAAATAGGAAAAAATACTTGTTTCCTAAATCTCTTGCATATTTTGAAGTGCAGTTAATGCATGCTGGTCAGCAGGGCTGTTATAAACCCTGGTTTTCAAATCTATTTCTGGATATTATAGAAGTATTAAAAAGTCTTCTCCCATTGGTCATTCTGTTCAGCTAAAGAAATGCTGCCTGGCCTGAAGTTCTGTTGTCCTTTTTATGTCGGGTTAAAAAAGGTTTTTTGCCTGTATAGGTATTTTTAAATTAAGCTGTAAGGCAGAATGCCTTAGATTCTTGAAATTCAACTGAAGTGTTACGATTAAATTGCCATTTGTAAACTAGGGCTGTGCGCAGAATACTTGTTAACCACCAGGAAGCGTGGCAGGTTTTGAATGGAAGATCGTAGCAAATGTACAATATTGCTGTGTTCATTTAGGTAGCTTTGGAAGAATAATTTGTCTATTTGTTTTGCCCTTTAATCTTTTTTAAACAGCAAAGTTATACATGGAAGAAACTCAACACCTGGAGAGATTTGGTTATCAGTGTATGCAATCACTTTATCACAGCATGATTTTGATTAGACTGGTTGGGGACAATAAAGTATCTAAATGACACTGGTGTGTACTGATGTTGCAGCTTTTGAAATTTCAGTGTAAAAAAATCTGTAGCTATATAATTTACAAACACATAATCCTATGTTTTACAGATTCTTTTTAAACTAATAAAACACAGTACCGCACAGCCCTATTTGTAAAACAGAAACAAGTTTGTGCCTCTGATTTCCAAGGTGCTGTGATGTTTTGCCTTTGTGGGGCGAGCAGGGCAGGTGAGACTTGCGTGGGGCAATTGCTTGAAAATCTCTGGGCTAACTATGCAAAACCAGCTGTCAGTTTTCTGTTTCACATTATATTGTAAAAATCCAGCTGACTTTCTTTCTTGTTAAAGATCTGTTGGGAACTTCGTAACAGAGGAGTAAGCAATGGCAATGTTTCTTTCTTTTTTCTTTTTTTTCTCTAATAATGGAGCTGTTTACACTTTAATGCAATGAACAATCCAGCGATACTTGAGAAACACTACAGATACCATATGAGTGTTTTCAGGAGAGAGAAGTGTTGTCAATCAGGTATTGAATGGTTTCTTTACTGTCACAAATAAAAAATTTTAACCATATAGTTACTTGTGCATGTAATACTTCTCTGGGAAAAAGAATTTCTGCACTTCTCCTTCAGTAATAGTCACTGCCCTAACTTGACAGGGACTTCACTTCTGCTAATGCACTTCCGTGTTAGATAGTAAAATCACCCTTCTCTGTTCCACCCTCCTCCCCATCTCCTCTTTTTAAGTCATGTATAGGACTCCTTATTGACTGCCCTGGCACCTGCTTGTGCAAACAGAGCTGATGAACTACTGATGAACTCTGCTAAGTAAATTGGTGGTGACTCTGGCAGATGTTCCAGCTATTTAGATCTCTTGGATGAGATCATACAATAATTTGTTCAAGTCTCAAAGCTGTGTGACTTCTTTTGAAGGGCTTACTTCAGCTACTTGAATAGCTGTTCTTAACATCACTGCCATATCCAAATGAATATCTGAATAAAACACTTATTTGGTTGGAAAGTCTATTTTGGGACTTTTTATCTGACATAGTAAGACTTAGGCAGAGCCTTCCTTTCTAGGAAAAGGCACATATTATTAGTGCTTTGTGAGCAGAAAACCTCAGGCCTGTTAGAATAAGCAGCTGGCTCAAGATAGCACGTTAGTTGCAATTAAAAATATTTTTTAGTTATTCCTGTGATCAGTTGGAATGACCTAGACTGCCTTTAATTTGTACTGGTAGGTTGGGGTTTTTGATTTTTTTGTTTAAGGTTGTTTTTTGGTGGTGGTTGTTTTTGTTGGGGTTTTTTTTTTAGTTTTACCAGTCTCCTTAGCTGCTACTTAGGATAAAGATGCCTTTCACTCAGTAAAACAAGTATGTCACATTAATAAAACAGCTCATTTACAGTGTTGAGAACAATACTGTTGTTCTGTCCTGACTGATTGAAACCAAGTGTCTGCAAAACTGAATATACGATAGTCTCTATACGTATATGCCTTCCAATATTTTTTTTTCCCCCTTTTTATTGTGTTCTGACTCAGAAGGAAAGCCAACTGCTCTGGAATTCCCTGCAAGATGGGAAAGGGCTCTTCCAGGTGGGCTGCAGCTCCAGGGGATCCTGCAGACTCCAGCAGTTTTCCTGGCAAGCGACTTTCGCCATCCAGACTTCCTACCAACCCAGCTCTGCTGGCAGGAGACCAGGCGAAGTTCTCCTGGACTCCTCTGTTGGTTCTGCTGGAGCTACTGGAAAATAAATGATCTTTGGGTAATATATTGGTTTGGACAGGTTGGCAAACTCAAACTTGAAAAGCTTCCAGGCATGTTTTGTTTAAAGGCTTCTCAAGTGCTGTTTCAAAGGGAGCTGCGCTGAGGAGCAGGTTGTCCTGTAATTGCCTAATGCCTCGTTAATCAGCTTTTCTGAAGCACAGGACATACACTAACATCTTGGACTTAATAGAGATCGATTTGATTCAGTAAAGTAAGTCTGCATCTGCAACTAGACACCTTCCCAAACAGCATTTTAAAAAGGTTAGATTTGGTCATTGCTTAAATCAGAAGCAAACTGAATTTTTGAGGTGATGGCGGTGTCAGCTTAGCTGTATCCCCTGGACCTTGCTGGACCCTGTGCTGCAATCGTACGTCCCACCGGTCTTCTCTGTGCAACTGGCATCGTTTAATTTTGCAACCGCCTTTTAATTTAGTGATGTAGACACATTTGATTGGGATGTAAATTGCAGGAAAATGCTGGACAAAGAAATGAAACACAGCTGGCCCCCGTCAGCCTTAGCCATCGTCTCGGGCTGGACTCCAGCTAGGACAAGGCTGTTGCTACTTGAAGGCGAACAGAGGAGTCACCGTTAAGCCAGAAACATGTCACCCCCTCTGAGAACCACCGTTCTTCTAGATAATGAGGGTTGATCGTTTTGTTCATACCAATGCAATGTACACCACCTCTGAATTCCCAGCTTTTCAGTAAATGTTGCATTCGGAAGAGTCTGAGGGTTGTTGAAGTTAACTGGCTTGACAATGGGTTGTTTTCTTTGTTGGATTTTAATGAGCTTTTGTGGTGAAAGCCAAATTTCTTTACAGTGTAACTTTGTGGGATTTTTTTTTCATGCTTTGATTCAGTTTGACAATAAACTATCTGTGTTATTTTTTTCATCCTCTTCATGTCTGATAATGCATATAGTTGAGGTCTGCCCCCAGAACTCCCCCTCTCCCTCTGCATGCCATTCTCCTTGGGGGAAATACTGGGGGAGGAAAGCAAAGACTTTATAGAATCAGGCCAGAAGGTTCTCCTCATTCCATTCCTGTCCCAACTTTTTGGACTTGCTGGGCTTTAATAAAGATTAAAGCCATGACTGCTAAGCATCAAGGGCTTCTTCCTCTAGCAGCATATTTGGCAGGTAGGTTCAGTTCCCACTCTTTTTCTGTTAACCTGCTGAGATTTGAATTAAACAATCTTGCTGCTTCCAAAGCCACTGAAGCCTGTACACAAGCTGGAGATGAGAAAGGAGCAAGATTCTGGATTCTGGGAGGGGAATAAGGTGGTGGGAGAAAACAGATGGTGCAGACTGGTGGGGTTTCCTATACGACCCTGGTTTAGTTCCTGCGTGCACCATCCCTTACGTTGCGTTCAGGGCACCCCCTGAAGCAGACAGTTGATTCCCCACCTGGCTGCCCTTGGTTTGCACAGATAAACGGGAACCTGAGAGCGGATCAGGAGGCACGTCGCTGCATTTTCTTCCAGGCTGCAGCGGCGTCTGTCTCTGTTGCACTTGGCAGTGCCTGTCCTGAGTACGTCCATCAGTGGTGATTTTGAGCAGGTGACCTGACACTGGTCTTGGGTTAACCAGTGACGACCAGTCTATGCTCACACAACATTTATACTCTAAGCAAACTGGAGGGAACTGGGGGAGCTGCCTTTTACTTGAATTGGTTCAAGGTGACCATGTGAAGCTGCCTTTCAGCTGGCACAAGTCTCGGGCTTGGGTCTTCAGGCAGTAGCATCTAAGTATCATGCTAAAGAAGTTTGGTGTAAGTTAAGCATGCGCTAGCAGGTTAGCCCACAGAAATATGAAAGCCTGACATATTTTTGTGTTTGTGTTTTTAATAGGAAAATCATCTTATAAATGTTTTTCAGATATTTTTTTTTTCCTAATCTCTAACTAATCACCTGGTTACCACGTGCCATACTATGAGAGGTTGAGAACCATAGATACATGTAAAATTCATACGTGTTTTTATGTGCCTGAAGTTTTGGGGCATGATATCTGGTGTCTTGTGCCACTTTGTTCCTTCATGAGCAAATGTGTTTGTGAGAAGAGAGGAGGATTTTTGTTGAGACCTGAGCCCATTTCTAGCTTAGTGGGGCCACATGCTGTGTAAGAGTAGAGGTAAGACTGAGCACGTCCAGGTTCCTGCCCTTGGCTCTGCATCACGGGGCCAGGTAGCTCCGTGGCCCTTAATTTTCCTTTCAATGTTTTCTCTAAATAGTGCGTGGAGCCTTGATGTCGTCTGAACCCTCTGTAACACACCTTAGTAATTCAGTTAAGGCAGGTTCAGATGAATAGTAGTTCACTGGCCTGATCTCTTAATCTGCTGAACAGATCTTGAAATAATAACTGGAGGGGTACAGGCAAGTATTTGGGATGATGATGGTTGCAGTTGGAAAATGCTTGGACTCCTGCATCCCGGAGAAGAGGATGAGTAGGCAGAAAGGATGGGAGCTGGGGGAGGTCTGGGGTGACTTTGTGGCACTGAACTGTGGTGGGCCAAGCTGTGACATGGTCTGGCAGTGGGTGTACTTGGCTTTTATACATCTGTGATCAAAGTTTTATGAAAATGAGAGGGTTTTAAAGGCTCGGGACATGCAGGGCTTGGTCACACCACGAGATGGTGCAGCTGTGCAGCATTGGCTTTTAAAGGCGCCGTAAAGGAAATTTAAAAGATACTATCTCGAGTAAAAGCATCACCAGAACTTTGCTATCTGAATCTCCTGCCAGGGTTGCGCTCCGCAGGTCCACGGATAACGTCTTCCTTCAGTTAAAAATATCTCTTAGTATTTCAGAGGCAATTTCTTCATTTGCCCAATGAATGTTCAGTTTCCTTTGCAAAAGGAACGGGTGTCTTCACCACTGAATGCAGGGCAGGTAAGTACTCACGATAATTTTAGTTACTGATTATTTTTTTTTTCCATGAAAATGCAGAATTGTATGATAAGCACATAAAAAAATAGAGAAATTGGTATCTCTCAAATAGTTGAGTTGTTACACCTTGCCCTACTGTGTAAACCTTGTTTCTTCAAAAAGCTTTGCTGCTAACCTTTTTCTTCTTTTTTTTTTTTTTTTAAAGCAACAAGATTTTAAATTGTTTGGGATTTGGCTGACGTACATCACGAGAACCGTGGACAAATGTTAAGTCTCCAGGGGGCGGGGGAAAAAAAAAAAAAACAAAGAAATAAGTCAGGTGCCAAGCTGGCAGGTGTGTAACGAGGCATCGCTCCCGCGCCTGTTCCGATTCCCCACCGGTGCGAGCGCACTGAGCCGTGCGTGATGCCCGCGGCGCGGCCGAGACCAGAGCCAGCGCGGGGGCGAGGGGGGACGGCAGCCGGGCCAGAAAGGCAGCCTCTTCTGGGGGGTGGAACAGGCTTGGAGGGCTGCGTCTCCCCCTGAAATCAAATCAAATCATTGAGTTTGGAAAAGGTCTCTGAGATCATCAAGTCCAACCGTCAACCCAATGCCGCCATGCCCACTAAACCATGTCCTGAAGTGCTTTGTCTACATGCTTTTTGAATACCTCCAGGGGTGGTGACACCACCACTTCCCTGGGCAGCCTGTTCCAATGCCTGACAACCCTTTCGGTAAAGAAATTTTTTCCTAATATCCAGTCTAAACCTCCCCTGGTGCAACTAGAGGCCATGTCCTCTCGTCCTATCGCTTGTTACTTGGGAGAAGAGACCGACCCCCACCTCACTACACTCTCCTTTCAGGTAGTTGTAGAGCGATCAGGTCTCCCCTCAGCCTCCTTTTCTCCCGGCTAAACAACCCCAGTTCCCTCAGCCGCTCCTCATAAGACTTGTGCTCTAGACCCTTCCCCAGCTTCGTTGCCCTTCTCTGGACACGCTCCAGCACCTCCATGTCTTTCCTGTAGCGAGGGGCCCAAAACTGAACACAGGACTCGAGGTGCAACCTCACCAGTGCCAAATACAGGGGAACAATCACCTCCCTGCTCCTGCTGGCCACACTATTTCTGATACAGGCCAGGATGCCGTTGGCCTTCTTGGCCACCTCGGCACACTGCTGGCTCATATTCAGCCGGCTGTCGACCAGCACCCCCAGGTCTTTTTCTGCCAGCAGTTAGCACATTGTCTGGTTTCACGTGCCCAGCACACGCTCTTGTTCACTGCAAGAAGGTTGGTTTTGCAACCCATAAGCCTCCCTTGCAGCCCATCTCCCTGGCTTTCTGCTCTCATTGTGCATTCGGTTGCGTGCTGCTTCCCACCTGGAGAACCTGCCCTCTGAGGGGAGACTGAAGGAGTTAGGTCTTTCCTCCCTGGAGAAGAGAAGGCTCGAGGGGACCTCATCACAGCTTTCCAGTACTTAAAAGGTGTCTACAAAGAGGACAGAGGCTCTCTCTTTACAAGAAGTCATGGAGAAGACAAGGGCCAATGGGTACAAGTTGCACCGGGAGAGGTTTTATCTTGACAAAAGAAAGACATTTTCTACAGTGAGAACAGTCAATCACTGGAACAACCTCTCCAAGGACGTGGTGGAGTCCCCATCGCTGGACGTTTTCAAGAAGAGTTTGGACGGGGTGCTAGATAACGTCATCTAGGCTCCCCTTCCTGTGAAGGTTTGGACCAGATGATCTTTCGAGATCCATTCCAACCTGGGCTGTTCTTTGATTCTACGACTCCCACGTGTCTTCTTCCACCTCCTGGCAGGCTGTCCCCAGGAATGGGGTGGCCACCCGTCCTGGTGAAGGAGGAGGGCTCAGCTGCTCCAGCAGCCAATGAGGATTCATCCAACCAGGGTATCACCCCCAGCTCTGCTACAAACCCTCCAGCTTATCTTGGACACGCTTCTGGCTCAGTTGTTCCCCCCTCTTTTGCCCCTGCTTTTAGACGAATGAACAGATTTCCTTGAGCGTTCGTTGTTTTACTTCTCCAACTGCAAAACATCTGGACTGGAGGTCACTAAACCCCTTGCAATCCTGCTCCTCGTTAATTCTGGGGAGCAAAACCGCTCTTCTCATTCAGTTAGAATATTTTTATTTTGCACATATTGCCATTTGAGTAGAGAAACATCGTTACTAGAAGGAAAGATGAGTGTTCACCAATGAGACAACATGGGGCCAAGAGATGCTGATGGGTGTTTCCAGACACGTATGGGAGAAGCAAAACCCATCTGGCTTCACCAGGAACATGATGCACCATGGGGTGAATTGCTAATTTAACCTGAAGGTTCATTCATCCTCTTACAGCCATCCAAATATTTCGACAAGGCACAGCTCCAGCCTCAAATCAGTGTGTTTATTAATATAAGCTGCCCTTGCAAAGAGTGAAAAAGGTCGTTCTTGTGGATTTAAATAAGCACCACAGGTTTTCCTGCCTTCCTGTGGTGAGGGGGAGGCTGCCTTGAAAGTTAAATCCCAGGCTGGGATCCATGCCTGGGCCGAATTCCTGGCTTTTCTAGGTGACAGCTTTGCCCATCGTGGGCAGCCTCCAGCTGCACGGGGCCCCGGGGGGTGCTGGAGCTAATGGGACCCTACTGCAAGGAACGCCTGCATCTCTGTTAGCAAAACAAAGACGTTCTCTGTGCTGCAAAAATCAGATTATCTGCGAATACGCATTCCCCATGAGATGCAGAATAAAGGTGCAACTCGGTTAGTGTAACCCAGCCAATACAGAGAATTTAAATTAAAAGGAGAAAAA